AAATTTCTTTATGATCCGTTAAGTCGATTTGGATATACTTAGCAACAAATATCCATACAAACTTTTGCACTAATAGTATGCGTGTAAAGTATTCAATTTAGCAGAAAAGTAAACATATGAATGGTAAACTTGTCGGCTCGGTCGTCAAATCAATAACACTCCAGTACATTTGATTTAGTGCGTGTTTGGGAATTTCGCATGAGTCATGCAGAAATGCATTAGACCTCGTAGTATTGGTGTGGCGTCTGACAACAAACACCTATAGCTTAGTGCTTTTTTATTACATGCGCCTGCCACTGGCCGCTATAAAAGCCAAGCCTTTATAGTGCTCTGGTAAATGTCCGTATAGAAATGCTACCGTTTATAGGCTTTTGCATGTTAGTTTTTTATCTTTTAGGCTTTTGTAGCATACGGTAATTGGAATTGTATGTTAGAAAACAGAAAGTATTTGAAACTCGTGGAGTTATTTTTTACTTTTGATATTGTTCAATTACTAATTCAGGTTATGAGATTTTCAGTTTATATTTTTAATTTGACCATTAAACTGTAAGATGGAAATTATGGGGAGGAAGCTTGCGAAGACAGGAATGGTATTATTTTAGATAACAAGACCAGTTGGTTTCTGACATAATATTATGCTGAAGTTTTCAGTGCCTGCGGTATTGAGTTCGTAATTTATACAGCCAAGTTCTTTTAGAAAAAGTTGAACACTCAAAGATGCAAGGTAAAGTTTCTCTATGAAAAAATATTCAATCAAATGTTGCTATTTAAATTTTAGCTTTGCGTCTTTTTATTTTCTTTAGCTTTAGAAGATGACGCATCTGTCGCAAGCCCTCTTCTGGAGACTGTTATTATATACAATAAAGAAAGAAATAAAAGAGACAGCCTTTAATTTACTTTAGGACGAAAAGGCAATTACACGTCTTTCTTGGAAATAGCCGTTCAAGGTTGAAGAAGTTTACATTAATTATTTTATCTGTACATTTTTTATTTTTATAAAATCAAATTAAAAGAACGTGTTACAATGTGTATTTTTAATAGAATACACATAAAAGTGTTTGTTTTTATACATCCACTTATAGGTAATTGATATGCGTAATCACTTGTGATATTTCAATAAACCTGACGCGGAAATGTATCCGTGGATATTTGATACTAACAAAAAGATAACAGCTTTGAATAAAGCTTCGTCGTCTCATAAATGTTTTATCGCACATCGATTTTCCCTCAACAATATTTACATTATAACGCCCTAATAACTTACCCACTTTAGGACTGAAGGTAAATGCTTTTTTGGTAAATTGATATATAAAACGTTATGTTCTTTTCGAAAGAACTTTTCCTTGTATGAGACTGAAAATTATGTTACCTATATGCAAAGGAACATAATTTTTTTGGACTCTTTCACTTTTCCTACTCGTAATTTCAACTTGGCAACTTTTTGATGTAATGAAAATTTATTGGAATATTTAAACATAATGGAAATGTAGTGGGAATGTAAAACTTTCAGACCGAAATAAGAAAGCAAACAGAATGAAAGACAGGTAAATATGATTATCATCTTTATTTCTCGTATAACATGGAAGTATTAATAAATCCCTGAGTATCGCTGTATAGGACTAGTATGAAATTTGAATACGTACATAATCGCTGAATACTTAACACTTTAACCCGTAAGTTATTAATGTAGTTTATTATAACGTCTTGGCTCCTTGTTTTTAAATTGATTACTTTCCTTAATCTCTCCGCCTTCGTCTGGCGAATTAATCAACTAATGGAACCCTGTCGAGATGATTTAAGAATGTTTGCGGATTTTTAATTCACCCGCCGCGCCCTGGCGACGTCTCACGATGGAAGTGGGTCACCGTACGATACCCGCCACCTCGACTTTATTTATTAAGATACCTTATTGTTCTTTACCAAGTGCAGTATCGACCAGTTACCTAACTTTTTCATCTAAACTTCTTTCAATTTTACTATTTTTTGTGAAGTACATTTATTCTCATGAGCGACATTGGCTCAGGGGTTTAAGCACTTGACTTGTAATCTACAGGTCTTGGGTTGAATCCCGCCATGTACCAATGTAATTTCGATTTACGAATTTCATATGTACATAATTTACTCGACGATCTTATGATGAAGGAAAACATCGTGATGCAACCTGCATTTATAGGAGAAGAAATTCAAAGATATGTATGAAGTCACCTAACTCACACTGAGCCAGCGTGGTTGACTATGGCCTAGTCACCCCTAACTTAGGGTATGCTCCGAGCCCCTCAGTGGTGCCGTATAGTGAGCAGGTGATCATGACATTCTTAACTTGTGAGCCTTTTTGACGTATCGTTGAACATTTGCTATAATAAATGTAATAGTTTGTAACACTGTTTGAATTGATGAATGAAGAAAGAATAACACGTTGTATAATGAAACAATAGCATATGTACGGCAAATCTACTTACAATAATGACTGTAGGACGGTGTCGGTAGGGAATAAATGATTGTAATAATGTATTGAACATTATTATAGTAGGAGTATGTTATAGCTTAAGGTTATTTAGTTCCTGATTTGATACTGTTGTCCAGGACTTACAAGGTAACGAAAGATAGGTATGGTACTACATAGATAGGTGATGTATGTATTGACCAGTTTTCACGAATATAGCAGAATCGATCCACTGACCTATATACCTATATGCGTTTATAGATCTGCAAATCTAGCTACTGTGAGGTTAGATATGTGATTGCTGGTGTGAATTAGTTGACGAGTTTCGTGTGATTTTTATGAAAATGTATTTTGTATGTATTTTATTTGAAATGTTGAAGGGAATAAGAGTAGCCAAGCTTCTAGCTACTGTTTGTCACTAATACTGTGACTGGTGGTTAAAACTGTTTATTCCTTTACTTTTAAGATACAAGGATATTTACAGCTTTTGGGTTTTAACAATCTATTTTCAATTTTGTTGTATGTTCATTTAAAATTTGCGGCATCTCTTCGTAAAAAAATAATTGGTTGATTTTCAAAAAATAACATTTTGTTTTCGGATGTTGTTGTAATTAAAAACATAATTGGACGGTTGTGTACAATAAACTGCGAATAATGCCTATACACCTGTACGAAACCAATGTCGTTATTGTTATTATCTAAATAAAAAACAAAGTTAGCATGTTTCGAATGTAATCCATTAAGGATGTCATTAATGTATTTGCTCTTTTAGAATTATTCTTCTACGCAGTAATTTAGACTCTTGTCTTCATAATTCTAGAAGTTTATAACGATAAAGTTAAAGTACAATTCGACTCAAAACATTACGGTCTCTGTTTTGTCAAAGGAAATGAAAAGGGATAGCAATATGTTGTCAATGCGGACCGTTATAAATTTAATATTCGCCAGTTATGCATGTAACAGGCGTAGTGTAAAGCTATAAACAATTTGCTCCCACCGAGCGTAATGGCTGAAGCGATTAGAGTGAGCTAGTGCGTGCGGTTCGCGACCCGGATTGAACTATAAGCCTCTACAAATTGCAGTCGGTATTCCTCTATTGTTTTACATTCAAATTGAGGTGCTTTGTTATGAAGTTAAGTTTTAATGAATATGTTTTATGTCAAAATGATATCAGTTTGTGTATCAGATATGTTTGAGGGTATAAGAATGAATGCAGGAGGAATTACAAAGGGTTTTTGTCAATTGAATAAATATATTTTTGCAGTAATAACTACTGATTATTAAATTTTGGAAACATTTAGTGTAAATTATCGCGGTTATAATGTCTCAAGGTCGTATATGGACTTATTGTTCTCATCTTGAGCTTAGAGTAACAGATAAGCCATCGTAAAAGTAAATAGTATAAGGTGACCTTATGTGATCCTTGCCAACTTGCTATATTGTTTCAGGCACATGTTTCATAAATATGGCAAATGTGTCGAAAGATAAGAAAATGTAATTACTTTTATACAAAAAGGCTTTTTGATTTGATCGTTGGAATTAAGCGTGTAAAATGTTTTAATAGGTTCAGATTGGCGTGTTTCTTGTATGGCTAAGTTTTCTGAAAGCAGTAAAAATAAATGTGAATGTATTGTATCAGCGAGCTAGCAGTCAATCATTGTAATAGTTTTCCACAAGGCAGTCGAAGTGAACGTAACAATATATGAGAATACCTCTAGTATTGAATGGGGCTGTTTTTCTTTTTCCGCTTCCCCGGACACGGAGCGATGTCGAGTGAAGAATTGTTTTTTCATGACGTATTTGTTCGATTCATATTTCTTCTATATTTTAAAAACATACTGTTGCAGTTACTTTCGTGAAATTATTTTTTATTATTATAAGTTCTGTTATATTTGAAAAAGTTTTTCCACTCTTCATATTTATAAAAAATTACTTTTAGATTGAGAGTTAAAATGTGATCGTCATAAGATGTTGAAAATTTTGTAGAGATACGTGGAAAGGTTAAAAAATTTTCTCCATAGACTTTAAACTATTTAGACGTGTAATAAACGAGCTGTCAATTTTTTTGCTGGAGACCTTATGTAGCAATCTATTTAATACACGACAAGTAAACAATAAATATGCTCAAAGGCTTTAATAAAGAGTAGACATAAAATTCAATGAAAATGGTCTGTCATTAGTTGGCTTCGTGGGGTTTTCCATTTATTTTATAGCAAAATATCGCTAACATTGTGGCGGCTTTTCCTGAATAGGCCTTTACAAGCGCAGCTGACCTGTCATTAATCATTTTTTTTCCGCACATAGTTTGTGAAATATTAGCTCTGACTTTGTTCGTACTTTATTCAGTTTTATAAATCCGTGGAAGGTCAATACAAATGTCCCTACTTTTATTTATGAAAGTAAAAACCGGTTAAAATAACGTGGATAAGTCAAAAAATATTCAGTTATAATATCAAACGTTCATCGGGGTTCTACAGTTTTGCTCATAATAATTATAAAAGTTGTTTAAAAGATTTCTGTATTTGTAATAGAACTTTCTTTTCTTTCTTTTGTCCAGGATCAGAAGATACGGAATGTGGTGTTGATCGGGTCCCAGGGGTCGTTGGAAGAGAAGACGGTGTCTGTCTGCTACGGCGCAGACTTCGTCAATGTCACCTTTGTTAACTTCTGCTGTACGAGGAGGGATATCGCACAGGTAAAGGGTACAAGTCATATAAATTGCTACTCCTTTTCTACCTAATTAATAATAAAAAACTTACGATGTTCAAATTGATTTACATCCTTCTTCTATTTTAGTTACTTATATTGTCCTATGGTCTGTTACTCCCCTTATGATTAGTTATAGATTTTTTTGCAATAGTTGATAGTTGTAAAATTGCCAGTAAGTAATTTTATTTCTCTGATAGATATTTTTGGCTAAAATTCTTCAATTACCAATATTTCTTAATTATCTGATAAATTTGCCTTATACCTAAATCTTTTGTACGATTGAATGTAATTCAAACTTTCGTGATAAGTTTCTGTACTAAGGTACAGTTCTGAATTTCTGTTCTCTATTTCTTCAGTTCAAAGCATTCATTTATAACGACGTCATTATAAACTCAACTAGCAGTTGAGATCCTGAATATTCTAGTAACATGACCAAGTTACACGAACTTGGAGAAATTGGTTTGTGAAACATTATGACAACTATTTGATTGGTTTGTAGACGGTAAATTTATTAATCCCTTACTCGATTCGAATAGTTGTTAATAATAGAAGAGACACAATTAAGAACAAGAGAATTTCATTTTCATATTTGTTGCATTACATAAAAATTGTGCATGTTAGTAAAAGGTTTTTATTATTTTTGGACTGGTAACATTTAGTTATATCTTTCCCGTGAAAGATAATGGAAAAAAGGAAAGAATTGACTAGACTAAGTTTCTATGGCTTATAGAATTATTTGAATTCCAAAATCCTTTTAAATTAACAATCAGTTTCCGACATTGATGTTATTTTTATTTTGTAACCAGTCTCAAAGTAAATTCAGATGACAAATAAAAGGGATTTCCAGTGAATCAAGTTTGTTAGATTTCCTTTAAGGATTCTCCTTTGCGATCGTTAACAAGTTTGGGACTTGTATTTCGGATAGTTTATAAGTTTACGACAAAGCAAATGTATACAAGCTGTCATTATGTTTTGTTATTGCCTTCGGGGCTTTGCCGCCGTTTGGGAATACTTCGCTTTTACAAAATCAATAGTTGTTTACGAGGCTATTACTACTCCTTTGAACTGTCTGCCAGCTAGAAACGGGTAATGGACTCTAATACAAATCACGGTTAAGTGAACTCTTTTATGAAACTTAGCATTTTTTACTGCTTCAATTGGTAGACAAAACCATTATTGGCTTTACAGCAAAGGTAGATATAATGAATTTTGACAAAAAATGTATTAGGGGAGTGCTTGATAGTTTCAATGTAATGAATATGGGGTGTTATTCTTTATTATTTTACTGTTCTTGTTGAATTTTTTAGGATTAAAAAGAATCAAACGGCCGAACGCTTTTTCGTATTCATTCGACATATAATTGTGTCAAAGTATTTTTCATTGTCGACGTCATATTACGTTCACATCTTCAAGGACTTTGTTTAGATCACTGTAATATAAATAACGGTCATCTGATTTTCTAATCTTGGACTACTTGTGCAACTGATATTAAATTTATGCGCTATACCCGGTCAAATGATGGCCGATGTGTTTCATGATAAGGATGTTATAGACTTACATGTGCCAGTAGCTGTTTATGTTTAGCAAAATACATATTTTATCTATAAAATATTTGGATTGCACCCAATAAGGTCCGTGCACTAATAACTTCTTGATGAGTGATGTATAAGACTTTGTATGCTATTACTAAGCTTTTCTTTAGGCTTATTGGCTCGTAAATATATGGCATAAAACAATCATTATTGTTACACTGTTTGCTTACCAGTATATTGATTCGTGTAGTAATAGTGATTTATCTGCAAATCATGAATGAATATTATGCAATGATCGCTCAATCCGGTCTATTTGAAGTGGGAATTTCCGAGCAACAATTTAAATGCAAACGCATTGAAATCGCGCGAGAGTAAATTGTAGAGAAATTTTTTGCCAATTTCCCTTGGCACTGCTCCAATTATGTTAAATACTGATTGTAATAATATGTAATATTTTGTCGTCAGATGTGGACGGAGGAACTGTTCAGTCTCGCGTACAATCTGAACCAGCTCAACAACCCTACAATCAAGTTTTTAGAGAAGCTGCATACGAAGATAGTACTTAAGGCGGACAAGTCGGGGAAAATACTCGTGAAAAAGTAAGTCTCATTTTTTAAAGTAACCTTTTAGTTCTTATGTAAAGCAGAAAAATAAGAAAAGAGGCGGTGGACGAGTGATGAGTGAGGTGCAAAATCTACAACGAAGATATTCATCTCTTCTCAAATTACAAATTCATAAATAAAACTATACGTATCTTACATAAGTAAGATGTTTCTTGTAAAGCTTTATTAGCATTGAAAATTGTACCTAACAATGTAGTGGAATATGACCTGTACGTGGAAATACCCAAAATAACAGGGTTACGAAATATTCTGACGTTCAGAACTATCCAAACAAAGTTGTACCCTGGAAGCTTGAGCAAGCCGCAACAGAGTAACGTTAGAGAAAACTTGCCAGCGCGTTTTAGAATATTAAAATCAAAGTTCTTTAACGAATGCGTAAAGTTTTATTGAATAAACTCGTTTGTTGTATACCAACGTTAGCGCAAGTTTACGATCGATGATTACAAAATTTGATTGAATCGTTTCTAGGACTTTTATGAATGCAATTTAGCACAAAGGGTAAGGACCTTTGGTAGAATTCTCAATACAGTGTGTGTTGCGGAAGCATTGTCTATTATAAAAACATAAGAAGGAATTAATCAATGAGGTTAGAAGTCAGGGGTAGAAAGCCCACTATGGTACCTCATTCGATAAACATGACTTAATAATTTTGCAGTACTCCCGTTCTCTGTAAATTTACAATAACGTTCAATGAAATACTGGAAATTGTGTATTAATACATTATTGTAAATTTAACAGATGCTTCACAGAATGGTATGGAAACGCGAAACAGTTTTAATTGTTAAGTGGAATTTGGCGCGCTGTGTTCATTACAGAAAGCGCTGTTCTGGCCTTTCAATGAGATTGAAGTTTACTTTGTGATTAGGGTCACCAAATACGAATAGGTAAAGGCAGGACAAATATTCCTATATTCACAAGAACCCGTTACATAAATTATTAAACTTTTGTTTAATTCTAGACTTAATGTTCACCGTTTGTTTCACCGTTTGTTTGTTGTACATCAGATAAGGAAATATTTATTACCATAAAACACGTAATATATTCAGAAAACACGCAATTTTTTAATGTTAGGTTTTATTTGTTCTACTTAATTATTTGTATTGTGGGACTACGTTTGTCATGGCACCTTTCTAAGTGTTTAAGTGATATCTTTACATTATTTTTTAAGACCAACACAACATATAAATCTGCTTCTTTTGTTCGTATTGTAACGTTAAAATTATAGATTGTGATCATATGTGTTATTGTAATTAACATTGACAGGAATCTGACAAGTAATTATTACCTGTCTCATTATTAATTCATTCTCTAAATTTTTAAATACGTTGTTACCCTACACTGAGGGGTATCGGGCGCTCGACATCGGCAGTTTGGAGTTAGATGTAATTTAGTGAAGCGAGTCGGGGGAATATGAATTTTCAATTGCATTCGTAATCGATCTGTCGTTGAGTGTAAATTTATAAACGCTGTCAGTCTTTGACGGTGACGGTCATTTATAAGTCATTTACGTTTGAATCCATTAGCGGCGGTAAAGTGCATGGTAATTAGATTCGTTGTTATGGCACCTTTATATTTCTGCATTTTTTCTGCGTGATTATGTTATTGTTGAATCATGTGTTGTGATTTTAGAAATAATAAACTAGCTAAACTGATTATTTTTATAGAAAACTAATGGGTTTTTTCATAAAATTCGGGTCTCTAAAATGTAAATTGATATAATATTACCTTGCAATTGAATTAATTATTCTTGTTGAACATTTATAAAAGTTTATGTATTGTTTACTTTGTTTATGTTATGTACAGAGTCGTTAAGCGTTTCATATTAATGTAGGTTTAGTGATGACTTAACTACTCTGAGTGTGGTAAGTAGTAGTAAGCTTTGTATATCGCACGGGTTAGTTCAAGGACATGTAAACTCAGAGGGTTGAAATATTCGCCGTTCAGCTAATGTTTGCTTCTTTATTGATCCATTATAATCGTTTGCGGTGTAACAAGATGCTCCTTGTGACTCTGACATGACCACCTGTAAGCATAGTGTTCTTTTGTGTTGTTATGAAATTGTTTTTATATGACATTGTTTTACAACAAAGTCCTTACTAGTCGAACTAATCAATTGTTTTTATGAACCATACAAAAATCAGAACAAGACTGAAAGAACACATAGGCTTTTAATTTAGCAAGTACGGAGTCGCGGGCTACATCTAATGTGATATAAAGATGAAATTTTCTTCGTCTTTCAGACTGGGATTAATAATAATGATGGAGATTTCATTAAACCGCCTGAGAACGCTGACTCGAGCCTTTCTTTAAGCTCGTAGCACACTGCCGCGATATAAAATCAAAATCAAAGCTAAGCGACGTGTGATATGAAATGAAGCAAAATTGAAACAGTATTTGAATCATATTATATACGAACTTGTATATATTTCTCAAAAGCAAAAAAATCTTTGCTTTCGTATTAAATTAGGCTTCGGTTAGCATCGGCTTCGCTTTCCGCGTGGGCTACAAGCTTTAACGCAATCTGTTCCACCTGCGAGCGAGCGAGCTAATCCGCCCGGCTGGCCGTAGACCTGTCGCCGTCTCAACACAAATAAACAATTAATCCTTGTCTCTTTTATACATTTTGAAGCCCTTAATTCATTTTTATTTATGTACTCGCAGTTAGGTTTAGAATTTAAGAAGTTAGAATTAAATCGTTTCATATACCTCTTTGACTTCCATGCTTACGAAAAACATGTGTGTTTTCATATAATCTTACTAATATTGTAAATGCTAAAGTTTAGATTAATGGATGGATGGATGGACGGATGTTTGTTAGAGTTTGTAGCCTAACTTGAACGGAATGAACGGAACTCAATAAAATTTGGCATACATGTAGAGGTTAGTCTGCAAGAATACATAAGCTAATTACTTTTGTTTTTTTTTATTCCCACGCGGACTGAGTCACGGGCGAAAGCTAGTGCTGTATATAAACTAGTCTGCTCACATGGGGTAGTCATAGTTTTAAATAAATTTTCATCGATCGCTTAAAAGTGCATCTTGAATCGCTATTTGAATTACTGAGAATAGTTATTCCGAATGTTAATAGTGTGCTAATTAAATGTTGTGTTTATCCAATTTTATACCGTCATAACAATGGTAGTGAGAAGCTTTTAAGCGGGCTGTAAAAATAGTAATGTTTATAGTTATATCCATCTAATCATACGAACTATTAAACGAACGAGCGACATATGAATTTTGTTATTACTGTTTCATTTTCATGAATGGATTTAATGTATTTCATGCAATGTTAAAGTAAATATCACATCTCATGTTTTAATGCCTTTTACTCGCGACACCGTCTGCGTGGAATTAAAAAAAACAAAAGTGAGTAGTCTATGTGTCATTCCAGAAAATCTGTCTAGCCGTTTAGGCTTCAAACTCTAGCAAACGTCCATCCAAACTTTCGCTTGTATAATATTAGTATGATGAAAAAGTAGTGTTGTTTTGTCTTCTATCAAAATAATATCTGAAAAAAAAAACAATTTATCAAATGGTTCTGTCATTCCGTCAATGAGTAGGGTCTTTTGTTGCTCCTATCCAATCAAGTCCATACCCTTAATTGCTTGCGTCCAATAAAATGCTTAGGGTCGTTCACGTATGAATGAATGCGGCTAAGGGATTTTATTGTTTATTTTTATTGCCCATATCTTGGTTAACAAAAGCATTCTTACTATGTTATGTTTTTGAAAGGAAATGATTTGGTGAATTTCCTTTATTCTGGACACTATTTTTGTGTATTAAATAATAGTAAAGCTTATTATAATAGAATGTTTTTGTTGCAGTATCGTGCGGCAGTTTGCACAGAACAAAGAAGATAAGAAACGAGTAGAGAAGGCACTAAGTGAGTCTGGTCTACCGACTGGTAAAAACGACACAATCAGTCAGTCTAAGTTCCAGTTTGAAGACTTTTTCGCTTTTTATAAAAGTCTTACGCAGCGTACGGAAGTTTTGAAGATATTTAATAGTCTGTAAGTAATATAAAATAAACCATACAGCGACTCTAATATTCTTTAAATGATAAATAAAATTTTGCGTGTATCTTTAAAACTTAAAAGGCATTCAGTCCATGGTTGCAATTTTTTTTAGAATAGGGAATTGGATTCGGTCTTGTCGATAATGTAGATATGCAAAATTCCGAATTCAAATGGTCGGATAATACAGATTATATTTGGAACAGAATGATTTAATAATTCGCTGAAAATAATCTGAAAATTTTATAGTCCTTGTCACCGATGAAGAAATAAATATACCGTTTTCCTGTTTTCCCTTTGTTTGTTTTGTTAAACGATTCCCGAACTTCAGTTACTCATCTGGCATGTGACACAAAACCGAAATAACGCTGTCGAAATTTCATATTTATCGTTTCTTTCATTCGCGACGGATGTGTTTCGCATCGGGAGCTGTTCCGGCGCGAATGACGTCACTGATCACTGTTCGCATTCTCTCTTTGGATATTTCGCGAAATATAACAAAGGATTGATGAATAAAATGTACAGCTATTCACAGCATATATACTACGAGTATACTGTTTGTTATAGGGTTTGTACTAAGGGTCTAATTTTTTTTTTACGAAAAAATCATAGAATTTAATGTTTTATCTTACAAATAAAAAAATGTACTGCTTGCAAACATGTTCTTATATGTAGGTTATCATGATATTTCATGCGTTATTATTTGAACAAACTTTTTTTAATAATTTGCAATGCAATATATGTATGGATCAAACGAATAAAATTAAAAAGTTTTCTTTGCCTAGACGAAGCTATATAAGATGTTTGCGCTCGTATCTTTAAGAAATAACATGGCGCCCTTTACAGCGGAACTCGCTGTTTACACTAGTGTTTGACGTCAGAAATAGGCTCATTGCTAGAAAGATAGATACTATGTCTAACAAGAAAAGCTTCATTCTGAAAATAACTAAAATATTTGGATTAATTAATCACTGTTTTCGCTCGAAATTTTAAGTTTATTTGTATAAAATTCCATCAAATCTGTTCATCAGTTTTATCTGCCTCACTCATAGTCATTTACTGGCGATAAAGAGTTTTCTTAGGTATATTTTTAGTATAAAAAATGTACTAGTTAAATAACAAACAAACAACCCAACGGCAATAGGGCAATAGGATACGGGTTCGAATTCGTATCTACTATTAGCCTCGCGCAGAAAGTTTGCCGATCACCCCCATCTTACTGACATCAACTGCGTCCTGCACTCATGCTCAGTACCATCAGTTCTTGCGTGACGTTATGAAACCATCGGCAAAGCTTCCACGCATGAGTCAATAACAATCATTTGTTTTCTTTAGTACGGACAACAAGCCTCACCTATCCGCCAATCAGTTGGTGGACTTCTTAAACGATGTGCAACGTGACCCCCGGCTGAATGAGATATTGCACCCCTACGCAGATATACAACGCGCAAGAGACCTCATCAGGACATACGAGTACAATAAATATCACCAACAGAGGTCGCAGCTCACGTTCGATGGTTTTCTTAGGTGAGTGTCGTCGATTCTTTATGAACTTTAACGCAATGTTCATTGTAAATAGACCTTTCAGACGCTTATGCTTTTCATGCAATTTGTTTTTCATTCTCTGCCCCTATTTTAAATTCCGACAGTCGAATTGAGATATTCAGTTTCCAAGATAAATGTAGACTGTAACTCCTATTAGTGAATAGACTACGTCAGTAGTAAATTTATGCGTCAATGAATTGTTTGCTTTGCTAAAGGAATTTACTTCCGAGCTTCCGATTGTATTTATAGACGCTTTAAAATACGTTCAACTCTCTAAATTTACATTTGAACAATGTATGTTGGGTGTTGAACTAAATACATTTGTTAACACGCTACTCCTGGTATTGATTGAATTTATATCGAAGTGTGTTTCAAATATTTTTTGCAATTTACATGTGATGTTTTATGCACTAATTTTTTATTCTAAAATGTTCACTGACTGTACTCTCTAAACTCATTAAGAGTTTATTTTGTGTACTTTGTGAAAAAAAAACCATTCATAGATAGTCAAATTAAGTCAGGGGGTAGGAGGCCCTGAAATACAAATAATGCATGAAACATTTTCCGCGTAAGGTCATTGTTAAATATTTGTATGCAATTTTATACTATTCACATTCTTCTGTAAGTCATAATTATCCTTTGACTTTTTTACTATTAAACAGAAGACAAATAACTTGATTATTTTCACCAGATTTCTAATGTCCGAAGACAACCCTATAGTTGCGCCGAGTAAGATGGATCTATGTGATGACATGGACCAGCCTCTCGCGCATTACTTCATCAACAGCTCACATAACACCTACCTCACCGGACACCAGATAACCGGCAAGTCCAGCGTGGAGATATACCGACAGAGCTTGCTCGCTGGTTGCAGGTGAGTCTAATACGTTGGCTGCTATCGACTATTTTATACTTTTAAACAATAAGGGCCTGCCTCATCAAATTGTTAATTGTCTGATAATAATCCAACATGTAAAACGTGTGATAAAAATATCGGATTTTGTTCCTTGACAGTGACGTCATTTTTAAGCTATCTGAGCCTCTACCAGTGGTGGGACAGGCCATAAGAAATCAAAGGTTCAATGTATCATATCAGGGCTACTTTAAATTGCTTCTAGCAAATCAGACACTCTAATACTTTTTTTGCGATGTTCTTGTCTATGATTTCTCACTATATTTTCATTAAGGCTTTATCCTTTTTCAATGCAAAAAAAAAACATCTGAATAATTGTAATAGATGAGTACGCCAAAACATGAAAAATAAGAAATTAAAAAGAGGTGAGAACCCGTTTTTCCAGATTTTTAGAATTTTAATTCTCACGTCCGCAAAAAGCCGTTTGTGTTATTGTGATGTACCCTAAGACACTCCAGGGAAGAGTGCGAATCAAGTGACACCTTACTTCTCAAAATTGGTCCAATCGTTTAGACTCAAATCGTTACATTGGAATTTAACATAAAAATAAACTTACATACGCATGAAAAACATTACCCCCCTTTGTCAGTCGTAAATATAGTTCAAGTAGGAAATAGAAATTCGATCTATGATATCAACTATTACCATAACAATGTCAAATGCGGTTAACATTTTCAAGAACTGTTCAAGTACGAATTACTTTGTGGCTTTTAAAGTTCAAGGCCCGTGTCAAAGTTTCGTCGCCTCCAAATATAGAAGTAATTTAAGACACATTACACGTGAAATTACCTTAACAAGTGAAACAAAGGGTATTAACTCGCCTATTTAAATTTGAGTGTAATTATGATTTTTCTTTAAAATATATTTCATTCAAAACTTCGTTATAATAGCTTTTAGTTAAATGTAAGCATTTTTATCCATTTATTAAAAGAAGAAACAAACATTTATACTGACATTAATGAGATAAAACGATTTACGTTAATTTTATTGTATTTCAAACAACGATTCGTTTTGCATTTGTTTAGCCAGTGGATGTCAAAACAAAACAAAATATAGCGAAAAAGTTAAACGTTGATTATAAACACTTGTACTGATTTCAATCTATACTATCTATACTTCTATACTATTATAATAAAGCGTAAACACACACTTCTTTGTTGCCTAAGATGTCAGCAATTACAGCGTATTTTTGAATAGTTCTTTTTTTTTAATAAAAAGCCTTACAATTACGTCACGCTTTAGGCTATATATTTTCACGCCATTAAACGTAGGGGTAAATGTTTTGGATAAAAACCCTAATGTGGGTAAGAGACCATAAGTTGATGCCAACATCAAGGAAGCAAGGTTGTCTTCATGTCATGGCATTTTGACATTTGCAATTGACACATGTAAATAATAAAATAATTTTATGCTGATGAAATCGCACGGGAACAGTTAGTATACGATATAGGAATTTCCAAACCCAGTTTGAGATCGACTTTGGTATAATCCGTATTATACCGCTCCTAATCCTTTAGCATACGTTCTTGTCCCACGTTTGAGATTGCATTTAAATTGCTACTGAGTGAGCAGAGACGGGTTTTAATATCCTTAGCCTTTAAATCTCAAAGGTACAGTCGTCATGCTTCGTGAAGATTTGGAGCGCACCAATGGACAAGTGTGCTGAGATATTTAATGCAAAACTAAATTTAAAGTAAAAAATACAATAATATCAAGCACATATTTAACTAACATGTTATAAGGTATATAATACTAGATTTCGATGCGACCACGTTGGCATGGTTTTTATAAAGAAATCGTAGTAAGTAGCCTGTGTGTTCTTCTAGATTATCCTCTACATTGTACCAAATTTTCTCCAGATCCGTTCAGCCGTTTAGACTACATACTCTAACATCCATCCATCCATTCACTTAAATATTTGTAAGAATTTATGGTAAGCTTATATTATTTGGAATACTGTACCGTTTAGTATACAAAATTATTCCGTTTAAATAAACGTCGTGTAGCGTCATATAGCCTGTTTTCTACATTCAATGACAAGAAATAAGAAACAAAAGCAAGGTTTTCATGTTTATTTATTGCCTTTTAGTAAGTTTCCACTGTCTAAACGCTTGTTTAAAAATAGTGTAACATCCCGCTTAGTACTCTTGGAATAATAAAGACAGCGATATGTTTGAATGTAAATGTCTCGTCAGTGAAATGCCACGGTTATTGTCATTAATTTATTCATTATCTCCGTTAAGTAATTAACAAGAAGCTTATAAAGGTAAATGTATTCTTTTCAGTCGGTGCGCAAACAACGCAATTTGTCGCTGCTAATGCGAGCAATTCCTTTTATTGCACCATTTGAATTCGTTAGCGAAAACTTGGCAGAGCTTTATCTCTGCTTTTCTCCATTTGTATATTTAATCTTTAATCGCAACGTATTCTTTGTTGTCTGAAATATTTGTGAATCGTATCTTTGTGAGATTATAAACGAATTTATCTTCGCAGTGAATATTTTATAACGCCAATTAGTTTTGTTTTATTTCTCAATTATTTTTGTTAATGTAATTTAAACAGCTTTGTGTATCGGGATGAAATGTGTTGCATTGCATATAAATATGAAGGGTTTTTAAGAAACTTTTTGGTATTCTCAATAAGATATTCGATTCATTTTTTACCTAGATTTGATATTTTTAACTTTCTTTTGAATATCTTACGACGGACTTGAGATATTTTTTCCTTTTTACAAAGGTTTTGGCATGTACAAAATTCTTTTGCAATTTTATCTTAATTTCAGTTAAATGTTTAATACGAAGTCTTATACTGTTGTAATTTTGTTACACAGTGTTTGTCTTTTGTTTAATTTCCACCCTTAGGGTGAGTTCAAGTTTTTCCTTCCATCGTTCATTACGTACCTACTCATATGACGTGTAAGGCGGAGTTCGGCTAAGTTAAAAGCTTTATTAAAACTTCTCTTGTTTGTAACTTGTTTCCTGTGCGGGTTAAACTTACTTTTTCTTGTATCAAAAATTTTCAGGAAGGAAAGCTATGAAATGGAAATACTTTACCAATTAGATTCTATCCTTGTCCTATGATTTCTACGTAAAACTTGTGAGCATTTTATGAGACAACTTATACTACGATAACAAAAAGCCAACATAAGATAGACAAATGAAGTCTGAAACGCTTATTTTTTAGTTTTGAAAATAACAATGATAATAGTATTAGTTAAGTTATAGAAAACGTTATCGAAATATAACTTCTACTTTTCCGTAGGTGCGTGGAATTAGATTTCTGGAATGGTCGTACGGACGAGCCGATCATAGTG